TATTAAAAAAAATGGTGTCGTTAGGGAGATGGTATGTCTTGGTGGGCAAGATGCACACAGATGTGCCTTGCTTGGGCACTCACTCCAGGGATGGTAGCGGTGGCTGGTCCTGGCTTGTCTGAGTCTCAGCTGCCACATTGCATAGGGCTGCAACCGTTTTCTATTTTAGGATACCCAGAACTCAGTGTCCAGTGCAAGGCACATGGCAGGTGCTTCAATTCATGCTATTTGCTGTCCCTTGATTAGTACAGATCAGTAATTGCATTCACTGGAAGGTTCAAGAGCAGCCAGTGTCAATACCAGAACCTAAGTACAGCGTCACTGTCTGGAAGCAAGAAGTAAGGATCAGGATGGAACAAAGCTCAGTGCAGCCCCCTCAAACTTCTTTTTCCCTTGGGGCTATTTTCCTAAATTGTGGCTTCTCTTCTTCTGTTTGCTTAGCAATGCTACATAGTAAAGGGCCTGGACCCAGCAAGCACCTCAATTGATGGTCAGGTTGGAGCTGAGGGTCACAATTGGGCCCTTTGTGATGAGGGGAGGGGCGGCACCATGCATGGAGCCCCCTGTGGCTCTTCCTGAGGTAGAAGTCCATTGTCAGTCCAGGGGAGTCCATAGGGGAACGTGTTAGGTGGTGCAGGGGTCCAGGGACTGGGGCTGTCCTCTCCTCCTTAAAGACCCTCAGCAGAAATACAGATGGTCAATTGTGGTATCTGGTTAGGGCTGGCTCATGGTCACTAGGATCAGACAGTCTGACCTTCAGGGCTTGATGTAAGACATTTCCCCCAAAGCTATTGTGGGAACCCAGTGAGAACAGGCCACCCGCTTCCTGGGACCCAAAGAAAATGCCAAAGCTCTGCTGATGGCTGCGGGAGAGGTAGCGTCTAAGTTTCAGCTTCAGCTTCTTTCTTAAGGCAAATCCAGCAGGGTCTCGCGTCCATTACTGGAGACACCCCTGGACAGGGCTTGTCCTGCTGAGACTGTTAGGATGCAGTTTCTTTGGCCAGGGACAAGTTCTGCTCCCACTAATCTTGTGATTGACTCCATTTCTCCTCAGGGTCTCTTTATGTACCCAGTGGGCTTTTAGATATCATGTATCTAGAGCTTACTTATTTTCTCCCCAACGCTGACCAGGATTTGCAATTATTTATATTCATTCTTAAAAGCCCGCTGCTAAGACCTGGGTGAAGACCTGACCCATCTTGTTCTCTACACCAGCCAGATGCCAGCGGCGCACAGCACCTGGTGTTCACTTGGGAAATGCTTGTTGGCTGAAGGAGTGGATGGGAAGCACACACCAGGTTTCAAGTCCACCTCTGCCACCTGTCTAGAAAGAAGGATCCTTCAGCCACAGCCACTTTCCTCACCTGTTGTCTAAAGGAGCAGGGCAGCCCCTGCCCAAATCCTCCCCGGGCTATTGTGGGAACCCAGAGAGCAGTGAGTGGGAAAACACTTGGTAGTGAAGCTATTTTCTTCCTTTTCACTCTTCAGAACTGTGCCAAGAGGCCTCATCTGGGGAAGTCTTCTTGTTGGCCTCTGCGGCCCTTGCCAACATCACCTTCTTCGACACCATGGCCTGTGAGATGCTCCTGCAGCTGAATGCTGTCCGCGTCCTCCTGGAAGCCTGCAGCGACAAACAGAGGGTGGACACACCTTACACCAGGGACCAGGTGCGAGCTCGGGGGGTGGTCAGGCCTGAGGGTGGTGGCCATGAAGGCAGAGGGCAGGAGGCCAGGGCTGAGGTGCAGGGGCAGAGGAGACGGCAGGGCCAGCAGCTCAGCTTGCCGCTGGTGTGTGCTCTCAGGGTGGCTAGTTGCTCTTGGAGCCTTTCTGTGAGCCTCTCTCACCCCTGTTGCCCACCGCAGCCATGATGGCTGAATGAGAGCTTTGCAGCTCCTGGCTCACCCGTGTGCAGAGAGCACCTTCTGGTTCAGATGTCTCATTCCTCTGGTTTCACTCACCGCCTGCCTCCTAGGAGACACACAGGCACCGGGAGGCCCCTTGTCCTCCAGGTACCTGTACCCTCTTGTGCTGGTGCCTAGCTCTCGTCACACCCGCAGCAAGCACCTTCCCTTCTCCGCCTCTGTACAAAATGGGGGTTAAAGCAGAACCTTGGCTTCAACGTCTTCATCCATCTCAAGTTTTTGTGCCTTTGAACTCCATGTAAAGTTTCGTTGGTGTGAAAGGATCTTACTGTTAAGCATGTTTGCAAACATTGAATGAGGAGGCTTCAAAATGTCTTTGAGCTGTGAAGTTGTGGAATTCTAACACGTTTTACCACTGCCACACACAGTCTCCTATTTAACTACAAACAGTGGGGGACCAGTGAGTTTCAGGTCTGTAAATTCTACGAGGCCCCTGACCTCCACCTTGGATGACCTTCACCTCCAACCCAGCTCATCCTGGCCTTACTCTTAGCCCATACCCCTGCCTGTTTCTCTCAGCCTCACCACTATGTCAAAGCTGCATGGCTCCCTGTACCAGCTCCTGCCCCAGGAAAGCCTTCTCCAGGGCTCCTGTCTCCTGATTGTAAGGCCACATCTCTCCACGTGGTGTTGAGAGGTGCAGGGGTGATGAGAGGATTCACTAGAAACAGAACAGGGAATAGAACAGGCTGACTGACGAAGTACACTGCTGAAGGGAACAGCAGGCCGGTCAGGAGAGGTCCACTGTGCCATGTGGGTCACCTCCGGGGCCTGGAATCGAACTTGCATCTAAGCAGCTGTGGCCGGCTTTGCAGTGCTATACTTTAACCCGTTTTACCACCAAGGAGGGCCCTTTCTAGTTATTCCATTTTTTGACATTAAAAAACTTGAAGGTTTGGTCCATGTTCCATATATATATTTCCCCAGGATTTCTTGAGGCCTCTAACCCAGAGCTGGCACCCCTGCTTCTTTAGGCCACAAAAGGAAAGAAACAGTTCTTTCTTCTCCTTAGAATCACTTTTGGAAAGGTAGCTGACTAGAGAAACCTCCATAGAGAATTGCATAGTATATAAGAATTAGCATTACCTTCATCCTGTGAGGATGCTAATATGGGTCCTATTTTGCAGATAGGAATATTGAAACTCAAGAAAGTGTCGCTAAAATCCTGTGGTTGTCAAGTAGCTAGTCCACATTTAATTCCTGTTCTGACTTAGACCACAGTCCTTAACGATCTGCTGTCATCATGAAGTGGAGGCTTTGGACTGAGGGTTATTATGCCCAGACCTTTTATTTACTGGGTGAGTTGGGACAAGTCATAGCTTCTTGGATATCAGTTTTTTACCTGTGAATTGGTACATGAATATCTACCTTGTAGGGTTATTGGGAGAGGGAGATAAGCTTATAATACTTGGTCCCTACAAAGTCCTTAATAGGTGATGAACACTATGACTTTTCAAACTTGATAGTCCAAGGTGTTTTGTCCCAACTTCTGTGACTGGCCGCAAGAAAGGAAGGCGGGAGGCAGAAAAGCTGAGCAAGCAGAGTTTATTGCTCTGGGACAGCACCAGAGATGGAGCCCCTAGGGTGGGGTCCGCAGCTACTGCCAACCCTATAGGGAGGAAGGGTCTCTTATATAGATTCTAAACTCAGATTCCAAAGTGGTGACTCATCCCTGTGTCCTTTGATGTAAGGCCCAGTTCGTTATCACCTTCAGCTAGTCCCATCCTGGATGCAAGGTCAGTTTATTACCACTTTATCAAGCTTGGATGCAAGGCTCAATACTTTACCGCCCTAATTCAGTCCTTGTCAGTAAATCTTTGGTCACTCCCAATACAAGGAATATGAATCACCCAAATCCCTCAACTCTGTCTTCCATGTTGGCATTGCAATGATTTCAGGCCTGTGTTTCCTTGCAACTGCTCATTTCTTGGAGTGGAATAAGCCCTCTGTGTAAAGTATGACAGTAAAAACAGACTGATGGCTTGCTAAGCTGACCTTGGCTTGGCTGTTGAGGTGACTGTCCAGTGGATGTATGGAATGGGGTGGGGAGGACCACCCTGTGTGATCTGTTGTGCTCCTGTTCTCTTCTTCAGATGGGCCCTTACATTTGCTTGGTCTCTCAACTACCTTGACACAACCTCAGATCCTTTCTTCTTCAACTGTCTCTTCTGTGGTCAACTCTGGTCATTTCATATAAGATCCAGTAGTGAGGCAATAAAAACAGGGATTTGGGGGTTCAGAGACCTGGGTCCCAAGCTTCCCTGTTATCACTAATCATGTGACATTGGGTAATTCACTCTCAGCCTCACTATTCTCATCTGTGAGTGGGGTTAATTTATATGGACCCAACAAAGTTGAAGTAAGAAACTTCTGGGTGCCTCCCTGGTGATGCAGGGGTTAATGTCTCAGCACTATCAAGCTATTGGCAGCCACCGCACATGAATTTGACCCCAGGCCAGGGAGCTAACCCCTCTGGTGCAGCAGATCTCTCCTGTGTTGCCTGCTGCTCCCCTCAGCAGTGTACTGCAGTCATTTTACCTGTTCTGATCCCCACTCTGTCTCTGATGAATCTTCTCAGCTCTGCTGAGGCCCAGACCCTAGTTCTTGTATGCATAAATAAATAAAAATAAATCTTAAAGAAGAATTAAGTAAACTAATGCAGATAAACTCTTAGTACAGCTTTGGCACATAGGAACTTCAAATAATAATGTCAACATTGTTATTACTCATTGGATGTAAAGCATAGAGCCTTGAGTGGGGAGCCTCTGGAGTTGTTTCCTTTTCTGTAAAATGGGAATGGTCTCTTCTAGCTCTACGACCTGTGCTCTATGTGCAGGGCCCCTTTTTCATCACAAGGCGTGACTGGCCCCCTCAGAAACTTCATTAATTCCTAGCAAGACAGGGGCTTGAGGTGAGGAAAGAATGTGGTCAAGCCTTACGCACATGGAAGTTCAGAGTTTGAATCGGGAATCTCCTGCTATCTTCACAGTTAGGTCCCAGCCCTACCCTCTTCTCTCTCCTCCCCTCTTCCTGGCCCTCCAAATTTGAGATTTGTCTCTACTGTCCGCAGGATGGTTTCACCTCCTGGCCTGGCTCAGAGCAAGCACTTAGCTAGTGATAGTACACCCATTAGAGAAACAAATGGCTCTTTCCTGTGGCAGGGGGAGGATGAAGGTGACCAGAGGGCTCTCTGTAATGAAGACAAAGAAGATGAATTAGATGCTGAAGTGCTCACCAGCCCCAAAACACTTAAGAGATTAAATGCCCGTGAGGCTTCCGGTAATGCATCTGCCAGTGACGTCAATGCTTTACGGAGCCTCTTGTCTTCGATCTACACTTTGTCCACCTGTGTTTGGACATCTCAGGGAGAACCTCTCTGTCATCCTGACAGGCTGAGTCCACTTAATTTGCCCAACAGAGACTGGATGACCCTGTCCATTGTGTGCCCTCACCTGGGCTGGGGGGCAGCCCTGGGTATGAGTGAAAGCCCAAACTGATGCCATGACAGGCTTCAGAATACTTCTGAACCAGCCAGGCCTAAGTTTCAGTTATCAACAAGGTGCTAAGGCTGCGTAAATGTCCTAATCTTGCTCATCCCATAGCAACAGCCACTTAGCAAGTAGGCAAGTAACCAGTACATATCAGGAAAACGCCAGGTGTCCTAAGGTATGCGGCCGAGTAGTGAGGGTCACATCTTACCAGGTTAAGACAAGATAACTTTGTTCAATGTACTGCTGAGATACAACTCCTCTCTTCTGTAATAAAACCCCCGCCTGCCCTGAGCTCAGGGCTCTCAACTTTGGCCGCTGCACTGGTGCATGTTGGCAGCCCAGGCTCAAGCTTGCAATAAAGACCCTCGTGTGCTTTGCATCAGAATCAGCTCCTTGGTGGTCTTTGGGAAACTCGAAACCTGGCATAACATTAGTAACTCCATCACCTCTGCTAATCTAGGGGTGCTGGATGTGGCCTGCACTCCAGAAGAACAAGTCATCTGTGTGGCCTGTGCTTTCATCCTCAAGAAGAATATTTTAGAAGTCATACTGCTAGAGGCCCCCAAAATAGGTGGGACTTGGGAAAGTGCTGTCTCGTGCTGGCTCACCTCTGCTCTGGCCGACCTGTGACTTCCCAGGTAGAAGGGGGTGTCAGCTCATCTAGCCCACACAGGGACTCCCCCCCCAAGTTTGACTTTGTGTGGTCTTCAGAAATTAATTGCTTCCACAGTAGTGGAGGGTGTTGGTATATGCCCTTCATAATATACATGCTGTCTGTAGTTGGCGACGTCCAGATTTTATGGAGTTTCTGAAACCCCAGTGTGATCACCATTATCAGAAACCCATTTATCAGAGTTGCCATTTGCTAGAGGTTGTAGTTTTGATTCATATATGAAAATCCTATTATTTGTCAAATTCTGCCATATACATGTATATGTGTGTATATGTACACACACTCACATATACACACACACACACATACACACATGCATATACCACATATATATACATAGTAGAAGCAGCCCAAGCTTTGGGTCCATACAGTAGAGTTCTAATCTTGGCTCAGCCATTTCCTATCTCTGTGATCTTAGGCAAATTGCTTAACTTTTCTGAGCTATAATTACCTTGTTGGTGTGATGATCTGATGATAATGGTGGTGGTAATGGTAATGATAATATTTCCTTCCTCTTCATGTCATTGTGATGCTAAGACAGAACCAAAGTGGATACTCAAACATGAAAGCAGAAGAGTCTC